TTCCTATAGAATTATTCCTCAGGGCATGGGGATCGTGTGTGTGCGCACGCGAGTGAGGTGGTAGGAAGGGCAAATGGTGACATGAATGAGGATGTCAACATGCAAATGCCACAAATTACAAACTTGCATCAAACAATATATAATGGCAGCATTTGAATTATGACATTATGTGCATTTCATCATTTGTTTGCTGCAGATGCCACTGTCTGAAAGTTTTTTTATAAAATTATTGAAAGCAATAATAAAAATAATAGTTTAAAGATAATATTAAAAACAAATTCATTAAAAGATTGGTGGTTGGGATAAAGAACAAAGCAAGAGTCAGTTTGGTATAGTGGTTAAGGTGCTGGCCCCGAATACAGGAGAGGGTGAGTTCTAGTCCCGCCTTAGGCATGAAAGCCACTGGGTGACTTTGGGCCAGTCACTCTCTCTCAGCCCAACCACCTCATAGGGTTGTTGTTGTGGGGAAAAAAGGAGAAGGAAGGAGTATTAGGTATGTTCACCGCAGGATAAAAATCTAATACATAAATAAATAAAATCTAGCCAATATTTTTACATAGAAGTCATGGAGTAAAAAAATAGAATTGATTATTTCTTGTTAGTGGTTCTTGAGGTAGTAAAAACAAAGCAAATCCAATGAACCTGAAGTCTACCAAACCTAATGTAGAGTATGGATGGCTGGGTTCACACATCACACAAAGCCATAAATTTGATTTGATCTATGTTGCTTTCAAGAAACACATGAATCCAACCACTGTGGTTTGTAAATCACCATTATAGTTTAGGTACCTAAACTATATGTACTACCTCATACAGTCCCTGAACATCTTTAGTATAGAGTCCAGAGACCTCCAAAGTTATAATCAAACTGTAATTTTACTGGGAAAGAAGGGGGAAATTATTGAATACACATTTGAAGAATATTAAATTGTTCCAGCTAACTTTAGAGCAGAATTATACACCTGAAGAAGCAGAAGGCAAATTACACCTTGAGTAATACAAACATATCACTATTAATGTTATCTGGCAAAGTACTCCATTACATTAAAAAAAAAACTTTTTCAGCCTTATCTAGTATAGTAAATAATACAAAGCACTTTGGACATATGTACCAAGTACTGGCAAGAAAGAAACTCCCCTTGCTGGAGATGCAAAACATCAGATCCATTTTTTCTCATAGGTTAACTAGCAAGCTGATGGCTAATTAGGAGGATTTATCATTTAAAAAGCCAGTTTGGCTCAAAATAAACCACTACTGAGCAATTGTGAAAAATAAGTCCTCTTAAAATGCACAGAAGCCAAGTATAACGTGCAAGTTATCTGCCCACAGCCAGTATGTGCAGATAGGAATCTGCTTTTCTCATTTTATTGAGGGAACTTGTCAGAGATACAGCAAACACTACACTGTGTCATCTCTCAGATTTTCAGGTTACATACAGCAAAACCCATACTTGAAGATAGCAGGGTGGTACACAAAATGTGAATACATTTTGTTATAAGCTCAATATGAAACATCTTATCCATGAAGGATTTTTATGAAACATTCTGAAGTAGCTCTTCCCAAAAAAACAACAACAACTCAAAATGGCTCAAGTATTCCATGAGCTGGTGACTTAAATATTCTGGCTATAAGAAACATAGGAAAACAGAAATACTTTCCTTATTTTTCACTCCACTACAAAAGAGTGGGTGGCGTAGCAGTCCATCCTGACTGTTATTGTCTCTCTAACTACAAAGACATTGGCCAAGAAGATTATTAAAAAAAAATCATAAAGAGTACTCTTGCTGTCAGCCAACCTACAGAAAAATAGCTTTACAAAATGTGCTTGTTGAAGAATGAGGACCTCAGCCACAGAACCCCAGCTGAGATAGATTGCTCCAGTCATAACCAATTCTAAGTGACTTATGTGCCCTACTTATATCCATAAGGTTTAAAAGTGCTTTGTCTAAAATACAAATAATATGTCAAAAAAAAAAGAAGCACCAGACAAAAATAAAACTCAACATTTATTACATTTCCGATTACAGATTATTCTTATATGAATAACATTAATATGTGTGGATAGAAAAAAGTACTGCTGATTTTGCATGAATTTACAAGAGCAAAAAAAAAGTGAAACAAAACAAAAACAAAACAGAACAAAACAAGATGTACTACTGCAGAAAAATCTATAAAAGACCAAAATCCACTTTTAAATGCTTACTGAAGTTTAACATTAACAGGGCAAAAAACCGTACACAGTTGCAAACCCACAACAAAGTTCAGTATAATCAACCAATATAGTACTATCAATGATCTTGGCTTTTCCAACCTCTGCACTGTTAGCAAAATCTTAAAGCACCCATGCACACTGTTATATTTATCTGCCTTCATTTATCCAATTAATTGATTTCTTTTGCAGGCTATGTGCCCGCAGATTAAAACAGAACACAAAACGCACATGCAACTGGCATCATGAACACTAATTTCCCCATAACAAAGAATTTTAAAAACAGTAATAATTTACTTATGTATCAGTAGGCAGGCTGCTTTGAGCAACAGGAATAACAGAGCAGACCCCACAAAGGACATCATACAAATGCTTAATAACTCTTAATAAATCTAACACTTCACCCTACATATTACTCCACCCTATGTATCACCCCATCCAATCTATGCAATAGCAACAGGAACATGAGTAGTCTCTCTCTCTCTCTCTCTGTCTATAGTAGAGACAGAAGGAGAATAAAACTACTCATATACACCCAAATCTTCTTAATAAGTCCTTCTTGGAGCCTCTTGTGAATACGGTAAACCTTTTACTGGGTGGTAGTTAAGCTGCTCTTACCCTGTTAACAGTCTTGCTTCAACACATAGCATAACTTCCAGGGGAGCTTAGCTGATACCATGGAATTAATCACTATGGAATTCCTGAGGCAGTATGGTCGGTGTCTGTACAGCTTTAGACTAAATAAAAATGTGCTTTTTCGGTTGGGCTTTTGGGAGAGAATCTGACCTGAGGTCTTTATTGTTTCAAGTCACTCTCTCTCAGTCCAACTCACCTCACAGGACTGTTGTTGTAGGGAAAATAGGAGGAGGAAGGAATATTAGGTATGTTTGCTGCCTTGAGTTATTTATAAAATAATAAAGGCAGAATAAAAAAAATCTAAAAAAAAGATTATCCTGTTAGGTTACCTGTCTCTGATATACTCTATGTTCTGCTTTGGGTTCTGACAGGTGTTTTTAACCATGTTTCAATAAAACTGCATTTTGCATTTTATGTACTGTACATTACTCTGAGCTTAAAGGTCATTCCTTTACTTAGAAAAGGACAGGTTCATCTTGTTTTATTTCTATTCAAGACAGAAAAACCTACCGGTAGAGTGCCAGGTAGAGAAGCATCCAGGAATGAAACTAGAGAATTAGGTGGAGCTGCAAACTGGACTTGGGAACAGGAAAAAAGCTTTGAGTTGGATGAGATCTGTGCATGGATTTCCAAGCCTACAACTGCTGCCCAGGAAACATCACTAAAAGAAAGCCAACATGTATAATCACTAGTTAGATAAATGCAATTAAAATTTTAAAACAGTTGGGAAAGGGGAAAAAAATCAAGCACAATTAATACTGGAACAAAATGGCAGGACATTAAAAGAAACTCAAATTCTGAACAGCTTAATTAAAAATTGTGTATCTTAAAAGCAAGGTGTCTCAAAAGATTTTTCAGATTTGTTGGAGAGATGCCCATTCTTATATTCAACATCTATTTTTTGTCTTATGCATATCCTGTCAGAGGATCACTTTCAATAGAGAAGGTGTCAAAAAAAATCTGTCATTTGAAAAGTGGAACAAAATCTACATAGCCACTGAAAATTTCACTTCACACATCCATATCTTCATATGAATGAGAGAATGGAATAACTTTGCAGTAAATGCTTTACAGAATCTAAAAGCAATGATCTGGACTTGTACAATAACATAAACAAATAAATTAGTTTATTTTAATTAGTGAAGTCAATCTTATGCCATTGCAATGATAGAAGCACTGAAATCAATACTTGGGATCCAGAAAAGCATTAACCAGATAGATTTTTTTTTCTTAAGAAGATGAGAATTGAGGCTTCTCTATTTTTTTGTAGTGAAATAATTGAAACCATAATGAAGTGAGGCTCCCAATATAATCACACCTATTAATAAAAATAGACGTTTTCAGAATAATTTATATAAGTTCCCGATTATTATTTTACACTATATCTCTCCATATGCTGTGTTCAAAATATACTGGATGGAAAACCAGATAATACAGGATATATATTTAAGAGCACATCACAGCATACGTCTTAGGTCAGTGCTAATTTAGAAAACAATTGGAAAAGAATTTTTTTTTTCTCTTGCCATTATGATTGTAAGGTACAGTTTGGGGCTTCCCAAACTGTATCCTACATAAAAATTTGTTGTTTATGTAACATTTGAAAATTGCACGCAGTTTAAAAACTGTTGCTGTGAATACAGTACTTTCCTTTATAATTACAGGAAAAGAAAATACTTGATATATGAATATTAATACTATCATTTAATTTAATTGTTACACAGAAATCTGCTTGCAAGATAGTGTGCATTGCAGTCTCCACACAATAATGAAAACAAGAGTTTATAATTGCATCACTTTTAATCATAGTAACAAATGTTTTTCCTTCTCCATGCTGCAAGGGAAAAGTGCTAGTTATGAAGCAGCCCACGAATTTATGCAGCAAAGCAGCATGACATTAAGTCTGCCAGCAGGTAAAGATAACATCAGCTTGAATTCTGTACCACTTTAACTGCATCTTCCGTTCTATTTTAATTTTGAGAAAAATTAAGTTGTTATTTTCCTTATACTTTATTAACTATCTTGGTTTATTATATTTTCATCCAATACAATAATACTGAAATTAATAATGCCTATATAGAAGAAATGACATTTTTGATCTTGGGAGAATGCTTTCGCGTTTCAATCCGTACTAGCGAGCCGCTAGAACAGCGGGGAAGCGTGAAACGCGACGAATTTTTTTTAAAAAAGCTTTAGTCATCCAAAAGCGACAAACTGGACTATCTCCAGACATACCGGTTCTCTTTCGTTGTAATCCCCTTTGAATTCCAGCAGAGCACGCTGGCGGATACCGCTCTCTTCCAATCTCTAAGTACGGTGACATTCTCAAAGCTAACTTTTCCAGCTCGAAGCCAAGTAGGGTAGCGTCGCATCATGGGGGCCGCCATTTTGCTCAGCGCTGGGGAAACATCAGGTGATCTCGTTCTTATAGCAAGGTCTCCTGGGAAATGCAGTCCTGAGCTTGCTTGAGAATGCGGGATGGCAGGACAAACAAAAGCCTTCAGTTCCCGTGATGCTTGACGACTGACCTGCTTGACTCAAACTGGGAGACGAACGGGGAAAGCGAGCAAGAGCTTCGGGACTTTCATGCGGGTTAGGTAGAAATGAGTCAGTGATCCGCGTTCGTTGTGCAGGCAGAGAAGCATTAGCTGCCTGTGAATGGGAATGAAAAAGAACTAGAGGAGGTGTCGTTCACGGGGATCAGGCAATCATATCGTGACAGATGTTCTATAAATGAAAACTAACTAAATAAATAGCATTCCTATAATTAATGTTTGCTTTCCCTAGGAAAGATTCAAATAGAAAATTCTGTTGTTTATTATCAATTCCATTCTCGAGCAATGGAGAATCCCTCTGAAATAGGACCGAGGCTGTTCATGCCTGATTATAAAGCAAAATTATTGAAGGCCAATTAACTTTTTGTTAAAATGTTATTAGATTTTGTATTTTATGGCAGTGAAGCATGCCTAGTCACTAGAAACACAGAACAATAATAATTATGGAACGCTGTCATTTGGCTGTGTGTGTTTTATTATAGGGCAGCTTTGATGTTTTAATAGATATTCCCTATAAAGGAAACACATTCTTTTATTTTCCCAAGGGCATAAATAGTTGTTGCCTTTCTATATAGTTAAATATGGGAATATTTTAAAGATTAATAGCTTGTCTGGCCTTGAAAAGATGGACATTTTGTAGGTTATGCTACAAGAATTCCTAACCCTTTCCCTCATGTGGTTAAATGGGAGTATGTTACTGTATAGATATTCTGGTGCTGATAACTCTTTTCTTGAGCATTTACCACTTGGATTTATTTCTGACGGCCTTTTTATGACATGCAAATGACAGCCCTAGGAGCTTTCTTCACCTTTGAGCAACGCCATGGAGTGTTATTTGCCCATAAGCAATTGAATTAGGACAGTATGTATAACCCTCATGGCAAATTGAATATAGTACAGCAGAAGACCCTTAAGTGCTATAATTCACCCAGGCTGTGACACGCACAAGGCTGATCAGAACATTCTTAAGGCCTTGGGCTTGGAGGCAAAACACTAACTTTATCTCACAAAAACAAATGGATAAGAAACACTGCAGATGCCCACTGTAGGAATTGGCATAGAGAACCGTATTCTATAATATAGAGCTCCTACAGCTTCACTGAGACATTCTTGTCATCATTGTAGAATGCTTGTTTGAAAAGATGATGAGTCATGGGCTTGTTGAGTCAGCAGCTGAATTTTTATCCGGCAGAGGTCAGTGGAACACACAAGCCCTCCGTAGTATTTTATATCCCTACAGACATCGGGATAAGCACTGTCAGTTTCTTTAGGAAAGATGGCAATATTGTATAGAATAATTGCCCCTGTTTTGTTTGGGGCAAAATAATTATAATAGGGAGATAATAACAATAGTAAATAATTATGATATGGATGAAAGTAATGTTCTATGCAATGAAAATAGGATTTATGGAAAGCAAGATTGGAAAGGTGAAGCAGTTTGTATTACAGATGCTACATAACCAATTTTTTATTTTTATTTTTTTGTCTGCGCTCAGTCATTGCTGACCCTGCAGTGACTGCTTGGACGAGTC